CGCTCTGCCCCCGGGCGCGCCCGGGACCAGGCCGGGCCGGGACCCGGGCCGAGCTGAGGAGGGCGACGGCGGCCAGCGCGCCCACTGCACGCGGGAAGACCGAGGCCGGTGGGGGAAGGCGGGTGGCTTAGTGCGTCTGGGGACTCGATCTCAAGTCGCCTGCCTCCCAGTCCAGGCTCCCCAAGCCTCCCGACTCTAGCAGGAGTGGGACCCTATGTCATTATCGGTCTCCACAATCCCCTTTTGGTGGCTTCGGGCTGTGTGGAAGAGGAGAGGAGTCGCGCGGGAGAAGGCCTGGATGCCAGGGTCCCGCCGTCAGCAGCCTTAAAAAGCCAGGTTCCCGTCCCCCGGAAGGGCCCCAGCGAGATTGGGGGCGGAGGCGGCGGAGCCAATTCCGGGCCGCGTCACACGGTGGGGCAGCGCGGACGCGAGACAGGAGGACGCCCCCGGCCCGGCCCGCACGACTTTTGCGTCCCGCTGACTCGAGGGGGAAAGTTCGATAACATTTTTTTTTTTTTTTTTGCGCGCGCGCGTGTGCGTGCGTGTGTGTTTTGGATTTCAGGTGCATTCTGTGGCACTTATCACACTCCTCAGTCCGCCGCACGTAACTACCAGCTCAAGGCCCTTCCCGTGTCTCTGCTGTCCCCTCAATCCCATCCCCTTCCCCCTGCAGTTGATGTAGTTATTTGTGTCCGAGTTTTAATTTACACAGATGGCACTGCACTGTATAATTTGCTGTCTATTTCATTGTATTTCTTCCTTTTTATCCGCTTGACACTCTTTCGAAGAGCTGCTTTGCCATATAAATCTAGTTCCTTGCGTCCTGCTGTTGTTTACAGTTCCCTAGTGCGCATCCACCACTACTTTCCTCTTCGATGAACTATGGAAAGGACATCCAGCACTTTTGGTGGACATATTGGGACGGCCAGTGTCCCACTATATCACTTGATGAGAATTTCTCTGATCAGGTGGGATTGCTGGACCTTAGGGAATACCCCATACACTCATGCTTAGTTCACTGCCAAACTAGCAACAGCACTTGCCTTAAGAAAGTTGTGATTATTCTCATCACAAATAGTAATTATTTAATGTCTGTCCTCTCGGCTAGACCGTAGGTATCATGAGGAGAGGGGCTGAGTCTGCCCTGGTCTCTGGAATTATAGTTTCTGATACAGAGGCCAGCTCATGTTAAATACAAAAGAATAAAGAGGTCCCAGCTCGGACCTTAAGGAACTCTGACACTTAAACATTGGGTAGAGAAAGCCAACCCAATAAAGGAAGGCAGAGGCATCCCCTGAGAGGTAGAAGGCAGGCCAGGAGAATGTTGGACCACTACAGCCAGGACAGACACACATTTGTCCAAATCCATAGGATGTACAACACCAAGACTGAACTTTAATGTAAACTGTGGACTTTGGGTGATGACAATGTATCAATGTAGGTTCATCGATTGTAACAATTGTACCAATCTGACAGGGGATGTTGACAGTGGAAGAGGCTGTGCCTATGTGGGGTCAAGGGTTCTATGAGAACTCTGTATTTTCCGCTCAGTTTTGCTATGAACCTAAAACTGCTCTTAAAAATCATCTATTTAAAAATAAACTTTTTTTTTAACAAAGCAGAGAATGTTCAAGAAGGAGCTGTGTATGGTCAGCAGAGATGACTGCAGCTGAGAGGTTGAGACAAGGATGGAAACATGTGCCTTGCTTAGTGATGTGGTTACACTGGTCACTTTGGTGAGAAATTTCTGCTGAGTGCAGGGGTAGAACCTAGACTGGAGAAGGTTTAAGTGACTGGAAGGTAAGAGTGATTAAATGAGTACAGAAGTCTCTTTTGGGCTGGTCAGCTAGTTCAGTTGGTTAGAGCGTAGTGTTGAGATCCCCACACTGGCCAACTGCCAAACAAAATTTTTAAAAAATCCAAACTTTAGGGCTGGCCCCATGGCTCACTCAGGAGAGTACGGCACTGTTAGCACCGAGGCTGCAGGTTTGGATCCTATATAGGGATGGCCAGTGCACTCACTGGCTGAGCATGGTGCAGACAGCACCGTGCCAAGGGTTGCGATTCCCTTACCTGAAAAAAAAAAAAAAAAAAAAAAAACCCCAAACTTTATATTTGGGCTGGCCGGTTGCTCGGTTGGTTAGAGCATGGTGCTGATAAAACCAAGGTCCAGGGTTCTGTCTGTACTGGCCAGCTGCCAAAAAAAAAAAGAAAAAAGAAGCTTGGCTGCTGCTGGTGAAACATCACACAGGTCGGGCAAGGGTCACTGTCTTGCCAAAGAGTACAGAACATGAGTGTAATCAAGCCTCTAGATTTAGTTGCGAATTTCTTGCGACAGAGGAACATGTTGATTTGACCCCATGAGTGTGTAATAAGCAAAATAGGTCAAATGCCCCAGGTTCCTCAACAGGTAACTTTTGAGGGAAAGACAAGGCTAGAGGGAAAATGTGGGGATTTTAACAGGCTTTTAAAAGGCACATCAGAATTTAAAAAATTAGCAAGTCTAAACTATGATGTCTAGGGATGCACACTTGAGTGATAAAATTGTAAAGAAATCCATGAAAGTGATTATTATAAAAGTCAGAATAGTTGTTTTTGGGGGAGGGGAGTAGGGGTTTGTGATTGAGTCAGGGCACGTGGTAAATTTTCTGAGGTTCACACAGTTCTATTTCTGGATCTGTGTGGTGGGTATAAAGGTATTTGCCTTATCGTAACTCTAAACTCTAGAAGTTTGGTTGTGAAGGGAAGAATAACATGGAAGGAGCTGTGAAAAGAAGGTGTACATGCATGTGTGTGTCTAATGATGGCAGAAACAGGCAATGGCTACTGGGGTGGTCATTCTTGTTCTCTCCCCATTTTGCTCCATGGCTCACAAGCCCTTTCACTTCCTCTGTGAAGCAGGAGCAAGGATAATTCTCTTCATATCACAGCTGGGAAAACTGAGGCCCTGGTGTGTGCACGCAGACCCAAGTGACACTGCACATCAAAGGCAGAAGCTGCCCAGAACCCAGACCTCCTGCCTCCAGTCCCCAGCCCAGGAGTGAGCAGGCTTACCCAGGGCTGCTCTGTTCCCTGCAGGAATCACTGAGATTTTGATGAACAGACCTCGCACCCGCAATGCCCTGGGAAAGGTCTTTGTCAGCGAGGTGAGAAAGGATGGGCACCCGGGTGGGCTGGGGATGGACTGGGAGGTATCTGACACAGTGTCCTCTGCAGCTGCTGGAAGCTCTGGCTCGGCTGCGGGAAGACCGGCAAGTGCGTGTCGTGCTCTTCAGAAGTGGAGTAAAGGGTGTGTTCTGTGCAGGTGGGTTTCCTCTCCTGTCCCCAGGGCTCTACAGGGCTCCCACCAGCCTGTAGGGGTTGAGGGAGGCCTTAGGTCAGCTTTAGCATTGGAGCTCATTATTCCCATTTTAGAGATGTGAACTCAAAGACTCAGAGAGGTAAAACTCCTTGCTAGGGTCACACAGCAAGTAAGAAGTGGAATAGAATTCAGTTTGAACTTGACCTCTCTGACCCCCAAATCCTAGTTCTTTCTGCTACATCATGCTTTGTTCTGACCTTTCATTGAGGAAATGAGGAAACTGAGTCCAGAGACGCTCACAAGGTCAGTAGCCAATATGGGACTCTGTGCCCCTTTGCCCACGCATAGGATCTCAGTCCGTGTCACCAAGGCTCTCCACTGTCCCTGTGTCATTTGGTCCTCACAACAGGGCTTGCACCATGAACTTCCATTTCAAAGATGGGGAGAAAAGTGCACCCCAGGCCCACAAGAAGCAAGTCAATGAGAGCAGAGCTGAGCTGAAAACCAACTCTAGGGGTGTGCCTGGGGAGGGAGCAACAGGGGCCACATGGGTGGCAGGAAGAGGCTGTGGAGGGATGGGTGGGAGCAGAAACAGGATTCTCAGGGGCTTTCAAGGGGATTTGGGTCAGCCTTTAGGTATGAATTATCAGGGTCAGAGTGCCCAGCTCGGGTCTGTGCTGACAGGACAAGTGTGCAGACTAGTCTGCCCGACCCAGCTGCCCTGGCTGAGGGCCTCACCCTACCCTGGCCTCTTCCTTTGACTCGGTGTCTGACTGCCTCTATCAAGGTTATGTCATGGCCCCCGTTAGCTCCACTCCTCACTATCCCAGCTAAGTACAGGGAAGGCAGGGGGCCGCACAAGGCCTGGGTATGCCCCAACTAGCTCTGGAATTCTGGTCTAGTCCCTGCCCCTCTCTGAGCCTGTTTCCTGATCTGTCACTGAGGGGCTGGAACTGACTTGCAAGGACTCTCCTAGCTCTGACTGCCTATAGTCTAGGACTTGAAGAGTCTATATGCACCCCCTGCATATAGATGGCTCAACCCCTGCCATCTGGCTTGTGATGACTCCACCATGATCACTCCTCTCACCAAGGTTCTTGCCAGCTGCATGCTACTATATCTTGTGTTCACTTGACCTCTCAGCCTCCTTGGACCTGACTGACCCCACACTTAAAAATATATATAATCAATTAATAAATTTTTATTTTATTATTATTTATATATTTTAAAACTGGTGAAATATACATAACATTTATCATTTTAACCATTTTTAAGTGTAAAATTCAGAGTGGCTTTAAGTACACTCACAATTTAGTGCAACCATCACCGCTATTCATTCCCAGAACTTTTTCATCGTTCCAAACAAACTCTACCCATTACACAATAACTCTCCATCTCCCCTTCCCCCCAGCCCCTTGTAACCTCTGTTCTACTTTTTGTCTCTATGAATTTGCCTATCTAGATACCTCATGTAAGTGGAATCATAAAATATTTGTCTTTTCATGTCTGGCTTATTTCATTTAGCATTATGTCCTCAAGTTTCTATGGCTGAATAATATTCCATTGTATATATACCACGTCTTGTTTACACATTTGTGTGTTGTTGGTAGACACTTCGGTTGTTCTTACCTTTTGGTCACTGTGAATAATGCCCCTATGAACACTGGTGTGCAAGTGTCTGTTTGAGTCCCAGCTTTCAACCGTTTGGGGTAAATTCTTAGGACTGGAATTATATAATTCTATTTTTGACATTTTGAGGAACCACCAATCTGTTCTCAACAGCAGCTGCACCGTTTTACATTCCTGCCAGCAATGCACCAGGGTTCCAGTTTCTCCACATCCATGCCAACACTTTTTGTTTTCTGGTGTGTGTGTGTTTTAAATACTGTAATAGCCACCCTAATGGATACAGAGTTGGTATCTCATCGCAGTTTTGATTTGCATTTCCCTAATGAGTGATGATACTGAGCATCTTTTTATGTGCTTATTGGCCATCTGTATATCTGGAGAAATTTCTATTCAAGTCCTTTACCCATTTTTGAATCAGGTTGTTTTTTTTGTTTGTTTTGTTTTTTTTTTTGTCTTTTGTCTTTTTCCGTTCCGGCAACGGATCGCAACCCTCAGTGTTGCCCCGGTACCGGACCGGGGACCGGCAACGGGACTGCAACCCTCGGTGCTGCTCCCGCACCGCGCTCAGCCAGTGAGTGGGAACCGGTCTGCATGTGGGATCCGAACCCTCGGGCGGGAGCGCAGCCACGCTTCCCAAGCGGCGCACTATCCAATGCGCCACCGGGCCGGCCCCTGAATCAGGTTGTTTTTGTTGTGGAGTTGTAGGAGTTCTTTATGTATCTTAGATATTAATTCTTCATCAGATATGTGATTTGCAAATATTTTCTTCCATCCTATAGGTTTTCACTCTCTTGAGAGTGTCCTTTGATGCACAGTTTTTCATTTTGATGAAGTTCAATTTATCTTTTTGCTGTTGCCCCTCTCCTTTTCTGACACTGCCCCTCCGACCCCCCAGCTTCCTTGGCCATGTTTCCTGGTGCTTCTCTTTCTCTGGCTGCCTCTCAAGTCTCTTTTGCTGGATCTTTTAGCCACCTGGAATTTTGCAATGGGCCATTTTTCCAAAGGCTGGCACCAACCCCTCGCCATCTGCAGGTGCAGACCTAAAGGAGCGGGAGCAGATGAGTGAGGCAGAGGTGGGGGTCTTTGTCCAGCGACTCCGAGGCCTGATGAATGAGATCGGTGAGGTCTGGGACTGGAGAGGAGGAGGGAGTTCGAGGTGGGGGCGGCCCTGCTGATTCCAGCCCTACTCTACCCATCATCCTCTACTCTTAAGAGAATTCTCTTTCTGGGCCGGCCCGGTGGTGCACTGGAGAGTGCGCCGCTTGGGAGCGCGGCGGCGCTCCCTCCGAGGGTTCAGATCCCATGTGGAGACCGGTTCCCGCTCAGCCGAGTGCGGTGCGGATGCAACACTGAGGGTTACGATCCCATTGCCGGTCCCTGGTGCGGGCACGACACTGAGGGTTGCGATCCTGTTACCGGTCAGTAAAATAGACAAAAAGGAAAAAAAAAAAAAAGAGAATTCTCTTTCTGTTTTGAACTCTGGGGGGAGACTGATGACTCTCCCAGGAAGATGGGCACAAGGAATTCTACGAGGGTGACAAGAGGGTTCAGAGGGCCCCACTCTGTCCTGAGGGTTCAAGTCTGACCATTCCAGAGGAGTCAAGTTTGACTAAGCATGCTTTCAGGCTTTGAAAATTCCTGTTCCCTTTGCCTGGAATACCCCTTCTTGGCTACCTGAACTTTTACTTCAAGGCCTCCAGAGCCACCCCTCCAGGAAGCCTTCCTGTCCCACCCTCAAGCTTCCTTTTAATGGAGCACTGATGATCCTGGCTCATCGTTGCCTGATTAGACTTCCCCATTAGAATGAGCCCTATGAGGGAGGGAGCCATGTCTGATTCAGTTATGTGTTTCCAGCACAGGACTTGGCATACAGAAAGGGAGGCCACAGGGAGGCCAGCAGGAAAGTGAGCCTGAGCAGGGATCATCCAGCCCATCTCCCTAACATTCCCCAGTTCATCTGACTTCTAAGATAACATGGCTGAGGTCCCAGGTGAGGTCCCCACACCTGCGACCAGTGAGGCCCTATGTCCCAACCAGCTTGCGCCACCCCTTCCCCCAAACTTTTAGTCTCTGTCTTGGTCCCGCCAGGGCCTCGCGGGCTGAGCCTTTCTTCATTTCCACAGCGGCCTTCCCTGCACCCACCATTGCAGCTATGGATGGGTTTGCCTTGGGTGGAGGCCTGGAGCTTGCCCTGGCCTGTGACCTCCGAGTGGCAGGTACTGGGCAGGGGGTGAGGTGGTGGGGGGATGAGAAGAGGGTGAGTGAACCAGAGTAAATCTGGGGGTTCTGCAAAGTCAGCTACTACTTGTGGCCTTTCAACCAAGAGCAAAAGTGAGGCATGGTAGGGCACACAGTGGGAGCTCAGGCAGAACCTGCTTCCCCTCTTGGCCCAGCCACTCACTGCTATTCAGAACATGAACGGAAACTGTACAGTGCCTGTAGTCACCTGTCAGGACTTGCTTCCATCTCAGGATGATTCTGCCAACCTCAGAGGAAGTGCTGACAGGACAGCAAAAAGAGCATAGAGAGGGGAAGCCGAGGACAAAGATTAACGTTCAACCTGACAGTTCTGACCAAGTCAGACTCACCATGTTTTGAACAAAGGTGAGCTACAGGGGCAGACTGTCACCGCCCCAGATAATCACAAAGGGCAGGAACACTGGCACCAATCAAAGTTTGCATTACTTGTTCTGAGCAATCGAGCTTTTGTGTGAAGAGTGGAGGTACGAGATGAAGATAATGGATCACTTTTCTTTTTCTTTAGTGGCTGGCCCATAGAGGGATTGAACTCTGGATCTTGGTGTTATCAGCACCACACTCTAACCAACTATGGGCAAACCAGCCAGCCCATAATTGCTAACTTCTTAATGTGACTGACTTATTGGTTAGGAGCACCCTTCTTGGAGACAAACAATCGGAGTGCCATCACAGTGCCGCTCTCTTCCCCCACTGCTTTCTCCTGCCACCCTGACATTTACACGTGGGTAACTCCAGACATGAAGGTCACTCCTATCTACACAACACATATCAAAGAGGAGGCCAGGCACCAAAATGCCAGATCAGGTCACAGCACTTACTCTGCTTCTCACCTGCTCATGTTTCAGGTGAGTAACTTGCAAGGTTCTGGTGAGGACTTAGAGTGAATGTAAAAGCCCTCATGAGCAATGGGATGGTGGTTCCTGTTTGCCTACACGGCATGGTTCAGATGGCCTGTGCTGAGGGAATTCAGCAGAGGCAGGCCTGTGGGGCGGTCCATCAGGGAAAGCTTCTCAGGGGAGCAGAACTCAGAAAGGGAATGTGGACTAGAACAGTCAGGAAACTTCAGGATGTGACAAAAAGCTGAGAGGGATAACTGTGATGGGAGCTGGAGTCGCCAACACTCTAGGCCAGGCCAGAGCTGAGGGCACATGAGACAGAATCCTTTAATCCACAAGTAGGTATTAGGAACCTTCTAGCAACCCCTTCCTTGTTCCAAGCACCATTACCTCATTTGATCGTTAGCAGCTCTGTGAAGCAGGCAGAAGAGGGCCAATCATCTATTTTACACCTTTGGGGCTCAGGAAGGGTGAGACTTGCTGGTGACCCAGAACTCCAACAGTTGAGGTGGTGGAATGAATGCCTGGGCTTCCTGACTCCCACGCTAGGGCTCTTCCGAAGGCAGAGTCTGGAGAGGTCTGGCCACAGCCAGACCATAAGGGAAGTGGCTGGATGGGCAAGTGGAGAAGAGGCATGTCTCTTCACCCCAGGGATTAGCACTGGAGGATGGGGGTGAATGGGAAGGAGGACTTCACTCTGTTCTGTTTAAACAGCTTCCTCGGCTGTCATGGGGTTAATTGAGACTACTCGAGGGCTCCTCCCAGGGGCAGGTAAGTGTACCTACAGCACCCACTCTTTATCTGCCCAGTTCTGCTCTATCCAGGGTCCTTGCCTGCTTTCTTTTTTTGCCGTGTGTCTAGGCCCTGCCCTCCTACCCTAAATCTACTCCTCTGAGAACCCTTGGTTGACTTCCTGGTTGGAACTTCTCTGTGAATTCCCACTTCCCATGCTGATTCACTATACTCATCCCTCCATCCTGGCAGGAGGGACTCAGAGGCTGCCCCGCTGCCTGGGGGTAGCCCTGGCAAAGGAGCTCATCTTCACAGGCCGCCAACTGAGTGGGCTGCAGGCCCATGCAATGGGGCTGGTGAATCACGCTGTGGCCCAGAATGAGGAGGGTGACGCCGCCTACCACCGGGCTCGAGCACTGGCCCAGGAGATCCTGCCCCAGGTGTGGTGACAGCCCAGCACAGGAGGGAAGGCCAGTGCCATGGGGGAGGCACTTATGGGGAAGTAGGGATGGTGACAGGGCATTCCCTGGGACTGTGCAATGTCCATTCACCCAAAGACATAAAATTAAGTGTTTATATTTATCCAGCTACCCAGTAAACAAAATTAAATCAAATCTTAACTTTGAACTAAAATGAAAATTAAATTCTGAAGGACTAGAATCAAATGGGCTTGAAAGCCCTTAGAATAGCACTGTCCAATAGAACCCCCTAAGATGATGGAAATGTTCGATATCTGTGCTGTCCAGTATGGCAGCCATTAGCCAAATTAGGTTATTTAAATTAGGTAAAATAAAAAATGTAGTGCCTCAGTCATAATAGGCATATTTCAAATGCTAATAGCCATATGTGGCTAGCAGCTACTGTACTGCACAAGCAGAGCTTTAAAGTGTCCCAAAAATTGAAAAAGCAAGATTCTAAGTGGATACAGGGCTGTCCAGTTACCTCAATTGGTTAGAGTATGGTGCTGATAACACCAAAGTCAAGGGTTTGGATCCCTGTACCAGCCAGCCACCAAAAAAAAGTGAACACAGAACTACCAGCCCATCTTTTCTACTTTTCATGCAGGACATGTGTTAAGACCCAATAATTTTTTTAAATCCTCAAATAGCTTGTGAGCATAGTCCTCCAAAAGGTTTAGAAATACTCACTAGGGAGTGGTTTTAGGCCCATAATAAGTGCAGTCTTACCAGCTGCAGGGCCCAAAGCCCTGAGCAGCGATACCCAGGGTCTGGCTGGCGGGGGTTCCCAAGACCCTGAGAAGCTCTGCTGGCATCTCACTATTCTAAGAGGGCTGGATGGGGGCGTGGGGGGGGTCTCAAGTTTTCATTATATTCCAATATATAAAAGTATCTGAAATAGAGCTTGGTTTAATTATTAAAACAATCCAGTTGAGTTGATTATCCCCATTTTATTTGTGAGAAAAGAGACCCAGAAAGGTCACAGAAAGTGATTGCAATATCAGAAAAAAAAGACAAGATTGGTAGTTCAACACTTTGCACAATACAGAATACAATATAAAATTGGTATTTTATTTTTAAGAGTGTAGAAAAAAAATTTTTTAAACGGTGAAACTAAACATTTAATGCACTTCAAATACACAAAATTTACAAACATGTTACAAAATGAAGTTAAAATATAAGCCTATGAAAAATGTTAACCATACATCATTTTAGTATCACCAGATAGTATTTGAATAATGAAAATAAGGAAAGTGTTTTATTTTGGGAGAAAAGAATCCTTCCTTCTTAAATTTAAATATCCTATCTCTTTTTATAACTGAGATCTTCTTTAATTAGAGACTATAACTTCTTTAAATTGACAGTGAGTTTGATTTAAATGGAAGGTTTTTTTTTGGCGGTTGGCTGGTAGGAGGATCCAAACCCTTGACCTTGGTGTTACAACACTGCGCTCTAACCAACTGAGCTAACCAGCCAGCTCTATTGTCAGGTTTTGATTACACTAGGTCAGAAAGTCTCTGAACAAAACGTTAAGTTCTAACACAGAACTCTGAGTGACTTGAGGGAGTGGGTGATAGCAGCTTCCACAGAGGGAGACTATCTAGTTAGACTAGTATAATTTCTTTTTGCACAAACTGAATAACTCAATCTCAAGATAACTCTGAGTGACTTGAGGGAGTGGGTGATAGCAGCTTCCACAGAGGGAGACTATCTAGTTAAGACTAGTATAATTTCTTTTTGCACAAACTGAATAACTCAATCTCAAGAAAATTCAGATTCCCAAATATACTGAAATAACGGTATTATACTCATACTAATACAATTACTGGTATTTAAAAAGTAACTTTGTATACCAAAACACCAGCCTACAAAAAACTAGCACGATAGTCACCAATCCCACAGCTGGGACCTTCTCATGATACCTGAACAACAAACCTTCAACTTCCAGCTATGTTATGGGGTGCTCAGAAAAAACAGGGTTCCTGATGGGGTGAGTGCAGTAGATGGCCGCCATCTAGTGGACAAACCACTCTGATTAGGGAGTCAAATGGTTCCAGAGTTTACTTAGCCCAGAGAAAGTTGTCTGCATCTTAAAACTTGGACTTCCCCCTTAAATAGTATATTTACATTATCCTTTGAACAATGGATTTGGGTGTGTTTTCTACTTAAACATCAAAGGGATAAAAGATACTGTGGCCAGCAACCTACTGTTCTTATTTCCATGTAATGTGAAATCATTTCTAATAATTCTTTTTTTGGCAGTTGGCCAGTACAGGGATCGAACCCTGGACCTTGGTGTTATCACCACCATGCTCTAAACAGCTAAGCTAACTGGCCAGCTGAAGTTCTTCATTTTTATGTAGCTAGCTTTTTCATTTATGGCTTCTATACTAACAGATTTTAAAAGTCATTGTCTTTACTTACAAATATTCCAAGTGTCTATAAATGCATTTCTTGCCTGGAAGTGGGGCTGGGGATAGAGTGTCAGGGCTGCTGCAGCACAAGTTACTTGGAAGCAAGACCAGTGATAAACTAAAAATAGCTATCTTTGATGCTGTTGCTTCCAAGTGGCTGTGTCAAAATGCACCTCCCACCCAGGATTTCAACCCAGGCCTGTCAGATTCAAAAGCCCAAGTTCCTGACCTTGACTCTTTTACTCTGCTGGGGTGAAACCTGCTTCCAATAGATGCTTGCATTTGCTGAGATGAGGGGGCAGAGGACAGGTGCAGTAGTGGGAAAGGTGACTGGGAGTCAAGCCCAAGCTTCACCAATGGATAAATGTGGCCAAGTGTTTAGCTTCCCTGAGCCTCAATTTCACATTAATGACACAAGCCTGGAAGGGTAGGCAGCGCCATTAGATGGGTCTGCAGGTATGAAAGCAGTGTGTGGAATGTACTATGTTATACACTTTGGAAGGATGGGTTGAGTGACAAGAACCCCAGACGGTCAGGACTAGGAGGGTCAGAAGTGAGAGTGGCTTCCTTCATTATAGAAAAGGAACCTCAACTAAGAGTTATAGGACCAATACTGACAAAACATAACATGTCAGTAGAATAGCTGGAACTAGACCCAGACCTGTCTCCCTGTCCAAAACTCTTCCCTCACAACAGAACTCGGTACCTCCCTTTTAGTTCAAACCTCTATAAGCACTGATCCCCTCCTCAACCAAACTTTTTCTTTTTCCTAGGCTCCCATTGCTGTGCGGCTGGGCAAAGTAGCCATTGACCGAGGAATAGAGGTGAGAAGTTGTGGGTCAGGACTTGGGTCCACGAAAGTCAGCCATGGCCAGGATGCAGTTCTTTCATGGCTTGTACAGACTGACAGCACAGCTGGAAAGAACTCAGGAACTGGACTCTAACAGACTTTGAGTCTGACCTCTCTCTTTCACTGTGGCTCAGTTTACCCATCCACAAAATGGGAAATTTGGCCAGATGATATTCCCAATTACATTTCATCCTTCTCTCCCTTGGAGAGAGGAAGACATCAAGGTTCAGAAAGGGTAAATGACCTGCCCAAGGTCAAAGAGGAAGTAATAAAAACCCAAGTCACATGGTGTTGACAACACCAAGGTCAGGGGCTTGGATCCCCAAACCGACCAACATACGCCCCCTCCCCGTCTCCAAAAGAACCCAGGTTTGTGTGGTTCCCAGTCCATGTTCTTAGGTTTGTGCTGGTGGTCAGTAATGTAGCCTCAAGGGCAGGGCTCAGGGTGATGCCTGGGGTGCAGCTAATCCATCCCTAGACTTCCACTTGCCCATCAATTCACTCATCACACACTGAATCTAGACCTGAGCTGGGAACTGGGACATAGATATGACTTAAATATGGTCACTGTCCCTAAGGCAGAGAGGGACAGATAGGGACACAAACACTGATAAAAGGTTAATGGTACCAAGTGGACACCCCAGAGAGATAAGAGCTGTGCTGCTCACGAGGTAGTCGCTTTAAAACTTAAAAGCGAATAAAATATTCAGTTCCTCCTTCATGTGGCTAGTGGCTACTATATTGGGCAGTACTGGGTTAAAGAACGTTTTTGAGTTGAGCCTTGTGAAGGATGAGAATTCCAAAGAAAAGCAAAAGTGTGAGCAAAAGCACAGAGGAGTATAAGTAAGCAGCTTGACTAAGTGGGAGTGAGGGAGAAGACAGACAATACAGCACCGAGGTTAAGGGTATGGGCTCTGAGGATGGACTGTCTGGGTTCAAAGTCCTGCTCTTCCACCTACTGTTGTCACCTTAGACCAATTACTCCACCTTGTTACACCTCTGATTTCTTAGCTGCATAATGGGGATAATAGCCCTTGTTGTGAAATGCAAATGAGTTTATACACATATGGTGCTTCTCTTAGAAAGTGCTTGTAAATGCTACCCATAGTAAGCACTGGGCAGTAGAGGCTGGAGAAGCTGCCAGGGGCCAGATCATAAAGGCCCAGGACCTTCTTCCTGAGGGCAGTAGAAGCTGATGAAGTTAACTAACTGGGGGGTGAAGGGGGCAGGATGTGTGGTGAGGCCACCAGATGACCATGTAAGTCGTGCTCCCTCTCCTCTGGCAGACTGACTTGAGCTCTAGACTATGTCCATCCTCCTCCTGCTCTCAGCCCCCATTTCTTCCAAAACTGCTATGAATGGTGTTCCTTCTCCAGGTAGGGAGTTCCTTATCACAGTCATCTCTGTTCACATAGACTGGTGTAGGCAGTTGGGTGGGCTGGCTCCCAGTGTGGGTGGAGATGGACAAGGTCAGGCTGATCCAGGGAGCATGTCTCTCTTGCAGGTGGACATTGCATCAGGGATGGCCATTGAAGGGATGTGCTATGCCCAGGTACGTGACTGCTGCCCCTATGTGCATGCTTGTTAGCAGAGGCTGGGCCAAGGCAGGGGGGAGGCCTTGTGCAGTCCATGACCAATTTAGAAGGTTCCTCCCAACCCAAATAGTCTGATTCTTTTTTTTTTTTTTTTGTCCTTTTTGAGACTGGCCGCACCATGCTCAGCCAGTGAGCACACCGGCCATCCCTATATAGGATCCGAACCTGGGGCAGGAGCGCTGCTGCACTCCCAGCACCGCACTCTCCCAAGTGCGCCACGGGCTCGGCCCCCAAATAGTCTGATTCTATGCCACTCCCTCCTCACAATTAACCTGGATTGATTCCAAGGGACCACACTGCTTCTCTCTGGGACTGTTTCCTCCACCATCTAATGGTGGTGCGTCCTGCCTGACTTAGTGCCTGGAAAATCACAGGAGGACACACAGGTACTTGACAAAGAGGAAGAACAGCTTCTGTGGTCTCTGTTCTATACTAGTTGCCACTGTAGAGGCGAGGCTAAAGTTGGAATGCCAAGGCCTTGGTCATAGCCTGAAGGCTGCATGTGTTCAACAGAGGGGTTGCAAACGTGGGCTGACCTATTCAGCCCAACTCCTGGGTTGAGTAAGAACTCCAGTTCCTGAGTTCTTTCCAGGTAAACAAATAACCAAAATATTCCTAAACAAGGGGTCCTGGGAATTGCAGAACTTAGTGTAAACCATATATAACTAGATTCAAAGCCAGACTTCTTGCTGCAAAGCCTAATTGTTCTCAGCCTCATATCAGACTGCTGCAGGAGGTAATGAGCTCTCCAGAAGCCTATAAGCAGTGTGCATGTAGAGGCTAAAGGTGATGGGGCAGAGAGGCTACAGAGGCTGGCCTGCCTTCCCCAGGACACAAAGGAACCACTGAGGCCTATATGTTTGCATGGTCCAAGACCAGTCTAGAAACAATGGAAACATTTGGACCCTGGCCTTGTCATAGGCTGGATGAGCTTAAGCAACTCTTTTTTGCCTCTGGCTCTGCTCCCCCAAAACTAACAGCCTTCTGTATATTGTTGCAGAACATACCAACCCGGGACCGGCTGGAGGGCATGGCAGCCTTCAGGGAGAAGCGGCCCCCCAAATTTGTTGGCAAGTGACCCCCATTTAACCTAGAGCATATCCACGCCCTAAGGAGCAGGATCCAGAAGGAAAACTTGCAGCTGGACTGCCTTCATAATTTCACCTTTCTGAGCTTCAGTTTCTTCACAAGGAAGATGATGGGGCTAGATAATCACTGGGGTCAGGTGTGTTTCGGAGAATGCCTGTCTCTCCCCACTCAAATGATAAACTAAGTTCTATTAAAATAGATCCCCATCTGGGTCTTTGTATCATTGGCTCTCAAGCCCTGACCTCTGCCTCTAAGTTATCAGGCATTCATTAGAGATAGCAAGAGGTTATAAGAAACCCCCAGTTTCTTCCTCTGAACCAGAGATAATAAATCAACCCTAGTATTGTTTGAGCATGTGTCAGGAGCCAGAGTGCAGATCCCAGCTCTCTGCTGGTAACTCACTGTGTTACCTTGGAAAAACTGTTTACCCTCTCTGGGCCTCAGCTTCTTCATCTGCAAAATGAAATCATTGTGAAGATTTAAAAAAGAAAAAAAAAAAAAGAACCTCATGTTCATTGTTAACTTACAGTGTTCTCAAGGGATGAAGGGAAGAGAAATTTAATTTTTATAATTTTGGGTATTCTATCTTTGGCTTTTTTCCCTGCAGCTTTACAAATCATCCCTGTGAAAGCCTTTTGTAAACTGTAGGGTGACTGGAAAATCTTTGATGGCCTTCAGGAGCACTGAGAAGGGAGTGATTAACTGTGAGGGAGAGAAGGGAGGGCCAAGAAATGGGCACACGACATTGGAAATGAAGCCTGAAGGATTAACAGGCATTTGAAGCAAAGAAGAGGAAGGCTGATGGCAACAGCATGAGCAAGGATGAGTGCAAGAGGATGACATACTTAGAAAACAGGGCGGGGGGGGCCTGCTACCCACATATCAATATTAGTTTCAATACTCCTCCTCCTCTTGTACCAAGGCTATATCTTAAGCTGTGCAGCCTTGTAGTCATTCTCTAACTGGATCTGAGCTCTGGCTAAGCATTCTGAGCCTAGGGCCAGCCTAAATCACTAAATGATGTGCACAGACACACACCAATAACATTGTTGATTTGCTGCTAAATACAAATGTGTCCCAAGATCATGCTTCTATCATGGATGGCAGTGTAACCCCAGAACAGCATAGGCTTTAGAATCAGCAGCACAAACTGTACCAGCTGTGACTACTCAGGAAAGTAAAAACCTTACTGAACTTCCTTTCTCTCATCTGTTAAATGGAGAATAAAACTTACTTGTGAATGAGACAAACTTGATGGGGTGCCTGGTACAGAATTGGATTTTAATGGGCACTGGTTCCCATGACACATCCCCACATTAGCAAAAGCTGGTAATTGGTTAACACAATACTGAGGTACTGAAACCCAGGTCAGGAAAATAAGATACCTTTTTGGAATCACACAGAAAAGTGTGAGAAAATATAGTGCAGAATGTTATGCTCATTTGTCTAATTTATGAAGTTGTAAGAAAAGAAGATAGAATACCCAAAACTGTAAAAATTATATTTCTCTTCCACCCTTCAAGTGGAAAGTTTTGGGTTTTTTTTGTCCTTTTTGAGACCGGCCGCACCGCGCTCAGCCAGTGAGCGCTGTGAGCGCACTGGTCATCCCTATATAGGATCCGAACCCACGGCAGGAGTGCTGCTGCGCTCCCAGCGCCACACTCTCCCGAGTGCGCCACGGGCTCGGCCCAAGTGGAAAGTATTTTGATGTCTGTAAAAACAGAAAACACACATACACACCCTTCACCACACACACGAAATAAATTTCTTCTTTCCCACCTCCAACAGAGATTCTGCCTTCCAAACAACACATTTGTAAGCATGTATTTCCTATCCTTTTTTCATGCACTTCTTTTCCAGTAGCTTTACATAACCAGGAATAACAATTCAACAAACTTAATATAAGTACCAAGGTCTCCCTATAGATCTCTCCTTCTTCTGGGTAAACGGGTCCGTTCCTCTGACAAGCTCCCAAAGTGAAGAAAATTGTCAAGGGCTAGAAAAAAGTAACTGGCATAGCAGTTACTTGTGTTCTAACACAAATTCCCAGGTCTTCCCACAGAGCCTATGGTTTGATTTTTCCAACTTGTTGCTGAAGGAGTATCCCTGGAATAATTGCAACTTGACTTGGGACTGTGGCTATCATACAAATCCAACTTTTTTGTAACTTATAGAAAATCAAACATAAAAGGCCAATGAGATGGCCAACACACAAAATTCAACAACTGGTTTCAACGTTCAATTACTGATAGGGCAGAAGACCTGATGCGGAAGAAGAGAGAGCACCTCTAAAGCCCCTTAGGTTAAGGGCACTCAACACAGAGGGGGCCTCTGATAATTCATGAAATGCATTCTGAAGTCATCTAGAATGGAGGCTGCAATCTGCTGTGCTTGGGGGTTTGCCTCCTTGTGCTCCTGGATATCACACAAAAGCTGCAATCCTTCTTCTTCAACTAACATTTTGCAGTATTTGCTGGCTGGAAGAAAATCAGGCAAAGAAACTCCATGGACAACTGGCATTTTAAATATTCCAAAATTACCATATTCACCTTTCTGAAGAAATAGTACAAAATGATTAAAGTCATTTGGCCCAGGAATTAACAGATAAAATGAGTCAATTCCAAAGAAATATGTCAAAACTTAATGCTTGGCTCGTATGGTGAGATAAGAGATGATCTTTTTAGTATGTTTACTTTCAGACAACTCAACGCTTCAAACATCTTTAATCTTAGTTAAAATGATGCAAACTTATTACAAAAATAATATACATTTCAAGTTCAGGCAATATGTTGGACCAACCTCTAAACACTAGATGTTGCCTAAAACATAGTTGAATGTACAAATAAAGGAATTTTCCAGGACCCAGACAAACAGAGCAGAAAGCACTTAAGCTCATGTGAGCTAACTTGCAGCTATCCTGGGGCAGATAAGGACAATCAGTCTCAGGAACCTAGGAATTCAGATTTTAATGTAGAAAGTTGGCAGCAAAGCCAGTGCATAAAGCTGGACCCTCAAACGGCTAGACAAGAGAAGGGATAAGACAATGAAGCATCTTTGTTTTGGCCTGGGCTCTAGGTGTACACAGGAGTAGGAGAGAAGTCTTTCCTGAGAATTCATAACCACAATCCCAAGTGGGTAATAGGGTTTGAATTTACACTACCTGAATATTGCTGAGAAATTACTATAAACGTTAGCCTAAGCCTAGGGAAACCTCTGGAGCACTTCAGAGAAGCAAATACAAAACTGTGCTGAAGGGACATATCCAGTCTAAAATGGATTCTCACAGAAGAACAACAAGCCCTGCTAAAGGTGAGCTCACAATAAAAAAATTTAAAAATACATGAAAATCCAACATAAGCAAATAGATAAAAGGAACAGCTAAATTAGAACGGCCCCTTTCAACATACACATGAAATAAGGTCACATAAAGACCGCAAAATAATTACTTTTAAAGAAAAAAGAACAAGAAGATTTGAAAAAGAAGCAAATAAAAATTCTATACATTTAAAAACGTGTCACTGAAATTTAAGACTTCATTAGTCCAAGAGCAGATTTAGACACAGTTAAAAAGAAAAATAATGAATCCAAAAGCCAACAATTAACCAGAACGCAGCACAAAGAAACAAATACATGGAGGCTGGCTATGTGACCCTGAATGTGTTGCACCCAATCTTGTCTGATCTTGGGAGCTAAGCAGGGTTGGCCCTGGTTAGTATTTGGATGGGAGACTGGATGGGAATACCAGATGCTGTAGACTTATGCATAAATAAAAAATAATTTTTTAAAGACATTGAAACTATTGAAAAAAAGGTTACAAGATGTGGACGATACAATGGAGAAGGTACAATTTATGTCTGATAGAAGTGCCGCAAGAAAAGAATAAAGAAAATGGGGGAAGGGTAATATTTTAAAAGAACATAGCTGAGAGTTTTCATCACTTTGGAAAGACCTGAATTCTTAAATTTGGGAAACACAAGTCTCAAGCAGAATTAAAAATATATATCTACATTCACATAAAATGTAAAGCTGCACATCAAAAATATAAGAGAACTTGAAGGAACCAAAGAAAAAGAAAAATTACCTATCAAGGAATGATAATTAGGCTGACAGAAAACTACAACAGCAACAGGAGAAGATACTAGGAATATTTTTTCTTCCAAATGCTGAAAGAAAATAACTGTCTCCTAGAATTCTATACACAGAATTTGCTATTATTAAAGAGTATGGGAGGGACCCACGTACCTATCAAGGAATGATAATTAGGCTGACAGAAAACTACAACAGCAACAGGAGAAGATACTGGGAATATTTTTTCTTCCAAATGCTGAAAGAAAATAACTGTCTCCTAGAATTCTATACACAGAATTTGCTATTATTAAAGAGTGTGGGAGGGACCCACATATTTTCAGATAAATGGATTTTGTCACTAATAGGCCATCATTTTCTTAAATTTAATTTTATTATTCATTCAGTCATTCATTTAAAGATGACCGGTAAGGGGATCTTAACCGTGGCCTTGGTGTTATCAGCACCACACTCTCCCAAGTGAGCCATAGGCCAGCCCATTAATAGACCATCATAAACTGAACACAGATAAAGAGTGGGGTAAAAGAAGCAATGATGAGGAAAAAAAGAAAAAGAAAAAGGTAAACACTGGGTAAATTGAAATAAGCACTGAATGTATAAAGTGATAAAAGCTAGACTACCTTTAAGGATATGAAAACAATGTGGAACAAAAATATATTGATTAATCATGTTCTTGGATGGAATGACTCATAGTCATAGAGATGGGAATTCCCTTTAAGTTGACTTGTAAATTTAACATGATGCTGATAAAATTATTAAAAGGATTGCTTGGGGGACAAACTTGAAAACATGAATCTACAGCTGATATGAAAAAACTAAGCAAGAAAAACCAACACAAATAAGAGTAAGTAGTACACTAATCCTTCCAGATATTAAAATATACTATAAAACATCAATAGGTAAAACAGAGTGGAGCTGACACATGGACAGATGCAACAAACTAAAAACAGACTAGAAAAATCCAGAAAAGGGTAGCTTGCTTTTAAGTATAGAAAATATGGACTATTTAATGAAAGAGAGTATTGGGACAAAGTAGCAATCTAGAAAAAAAATAAGTTATATTCATACCTCAGACCATACACCAAGAAAAGTTTCAAATAGATCAAAGACTTTAATATAAAAAATGGAAGCATACTAGAAGAAAACATAAGAGACTTCTTTTATAATCTAAGTGTAACCATGATCTGAAATCCAAAGGCCATATAACAAAAGACTGACAACAAACAAAATCAGACAATAAACTGGGAAAAAGTATTTACAACATATATCACAAAGACCTAATATATAAAGAGTCCCTTCAAATCAAAAAGAAAAAGACAAAATAGGGGGCCGGCCCGGTGGCGCACTGCTACAGTGCGCCGCTTGGGAGCGCGGTGGCGCTCCCGCCGAGGGTTCGGATCCCACATATAGACCGGTTCCCGCTCACTGGCTGAGCGAGGGGTGGGCGCAGCACCGAGGGTTGCGATCCCGTTGCCGGTCCCAGTCTGGTACAGGTGCGACACTGAGGGTTGCGGTCTGTTGCCGGACACGAAAAAAGACAAAAAGGAAAAAAAAAAAAAAGACAAAATAGGTAAAAATTGAATAAAGTATATCAATAGACAATTCACAGACAAGAAAATGACTCATATAAGATGGTTAATTTCCCTTAAAATAATACATGTCAACTGAGAGTATCACCTTCATCTTTTTTTTTTCCTTTTTGTCTTTTTTTGTGACCAGTAACGGGATCGCAACCGTCAGTGTCGCACCCGTACCGCGACCAGCAATGGGATCGCAACCCTCGGTGTCACGCCTGCACCGCGCTCAACCAGTGAGCGGACTGGTCTCTATATGGGATCCATACCCTCAGCGGGAGCGCCACACTCTACCAAGTGTGCCACCAGGCCAGCCCCAATATCACCTTCATCTTAAATTGACAAAGATCAGAAGTTCAATTAGGGCTGGCCGGTTAGCTCAGTTGGCTACAGCGCAGCCTTATAATACCAAGGTCATGGTTTCAGATCACCGTACTAGCCAGCCACCAAATAAAACAAAAAGAAAAGTTCAATTAACATTGTTTTTGCAATAATATAGGGAAACTGGCAAACTTTCATACTCTGATTTCATAATCAACTCTCTGGAGTTCAACTTAGCAACACCTATCAAAATTATGAATGTTCATAACCTTTTTTTTTTTTCTGAAGATGACCAGTAAGGGCGTCTTAACCCTTGACTTGGTGTTGTCAGCACCACACTCTCGCAAGTGAGCAAACCGGCCATCCCTATATAGGGATCTGAACCCGTGGCCTTGGTGTTATCAGCATCACATTCTCCAGAGTGAGCCATAGGCCAGCCCTGTTCATAACCTCAGCAATCCTAAGGAATCTGTAGAGTAACTCACACACTTGCAAAATGATGTATTTTATTTAACAAGTGCTATGTACTATGCTAGTAATAATACTATACTACATACAAATGCTAGAACAGCCAAGCGCTATTCTGAATGTTTTATAAATTTTTTTTTTTTTGGTGGGGGGGTGGGGTTGGGGGCAGGTGGAGAGGCAGCTGGCTGGTATGGGGATCCGAACTTGTGACCCTGGTGTTAACAACACCAAGTGAACTAAGTGGCCAGCCCCTAAATGCTTTACAAATATTAACCGACTTAATTCTCATACCAAACCTATGAAGTAGGTACTATTATCCCCATTTTATAGATGAGAAAACTGAGGCACAGAGAAGAGGTTAATTTGCTTAAGTTGCACAGTTAGTAAATGGCAGCAACTGGGAATAAAACACATGGTTACAGTCTGTCCTCTTAATTACCACACTATTGTACAAGTGCATCTTTCACTTTTTATTTATATGTCATTTATTGAAGCAGTGTTTATAATAGGAAAAGACTGGAAACAATATCCATCTAAAGGAGACTGATTAAATAAATTATTATATCCATAGAGTGAGGAAATACTGAGGAGTCTAATTAATAGTGCTCAATGTGAAGTCAGATAACTAGGTTAGAACCTTGGCTCTGGTAGTTTTAACCTTGGCCAAGTTACTTAATTTCTCTGTGCTTCAGTTTCCTCATCTGTGATATATGGATGATGATGATGACGATGACGATGACGATGATGATGATGATAACAACATAATTAATAATGCTAACCCCTTTGTAGTTGCTGTGAAAAATAAATGAGTTACTCACAAAGAGCTTACAATACTGCCTGGTACACATTAAGTACTCAGCTAAGTTGTAGTTGTTGTTATAGTTACTACTGTTCTAACTGAATATACTGCAGTCTGTTTCAGGGCCACTCTGATCTGCATATCTATTCATATGTCAGCACCATTCACAGTACCTTCTTATATGTTAAGAGAAATGTTAGAGCAAGCTCCTAAAACCTGTTTTTCTTTGTTGGTTGCTTCCTATTTATTCTGCAAGATGAACTTTAGAATAATTTTCAGATCCCCTATCTCCTATCTGTTCACTTGAATTGTATTATATCCATAAATTGACATCTGTGTCTTAGTCTTTCCACCTTGCAACATGGTTATATCTTATAATTATTTCAGGCTTTCAAATGATCTCTCATAGTTTTCTGCATATACAAAGGTACTTCAAAAAGTTCATGGAAAAAGAGAATCGTTCTGTGAACTTTTTGAAGTACCCTCATAGGTCTTATTATTTGTTAAAGCTATTTTATACTTTTGTTGACAATATGAAGGGGGTATCTTTTCCTTTAATTTTCCTACATTTTCTGATTTTTGCTGGTATTAGAAAATTATTGGTTTTTAGATACATTATATCTAGTCAATATGCTAAACCTTTAATTCTAAAGTTGTCTCTTGGGTTATCTAGTATAAAATCATAGCCTATATTTCTTTTATAATAAAAGCAAAAATTTTACAATAATCTTGTGCAAAGGATATACATAAAAAATTCTCAAAGGGGATTTTAAACAGTAAGATATTCAAAACCTTTTAATCTGGCTGGGAACTGGTTCCCGAGCCTCACACACACAGACCATTACAAAGAAGCAGATCTATGTATTACTATAGGAAGAGCGTTAGTGATAAACTGTTCAGGGAAAAGAGCTAGCTGTAGGACAGCATGCACAGAATGAGTCCACTGTCATATTCATATATAACATATACTAAATATAGCATGTACATAGAAAAGCATGATAATTATTAAATTATTAATAATACTTGCCTTTGTGAAACAGGTGTGGGAGCAAACTTTCACTTTCTATATTGATACCCACCCCCAAATATATCACTAATTCGGTAGCAATTTCTCAACTAATAAAAACTTTTTTCAGTTTCTTTTTTAAAAGAGCTAAATTTGGAGGACACAGGTAAACAATTTTTCAAAATCCATATTAAACTATTCGTTGTACAGAAAAATAGCTAGTAAACTACTGTTTTGAACACACACTGAATACATACGGTTTTTACTGCAGACATGATACATAGCCCATAGTGCCCACAGCTGAACCTCTGGTTGAGAGAAGTTACCAAGGAGCGGGAAAAATGCCTTGAAGGATCTAAGAAAGTACAAAGATGTTAATTCAGAACTCAGGCTAATTAATGTTCAGGAATATAATAATAATTTTCAACATTTTCCCCACAGGGCCAATTCCTCACTAAGACAGATGTGTTACATTGAGCATGCAATGGGAGTTATCATTTAAGAAATTGCATTCTGTGTTAGACACTCTACACCTTCAATATCTCATTTCATCCTCAATCTTGGATACTGTCAGCCTCATTTTACAGATGAAGAAAACTGAGTCTCACGGATTTTCTCGAGATGATATTCACAGTATCACAGAGAAATATGATTTGAACACAAGGTTAATTGACTTAAATACCTTATCACTGTATTATTGAGTACACTGAGGAAAAGCTTTTAAAAAAGCACTCCATCATCATGAAATTACCTGTAAGTCACCAATGCTGTCATCTTACAACTTGAACTTGGCCAATTCTGGATAGTTGCAAGCTATACAAAAGAGAGAGAGAGAAACCAGGATTCTAATATTGTATTTCATCATTTTAAAAGTCATAGTAGACTACTTCATGTCATTTATAATTACATATATTTGAAACAACACACATTTTCAAAATATGGGAATGATTAAACAAATTTAGATAATCTTCCTTGCCAAAATGTCAATCAGATAACCATTACAATATATGCAGAATATATGAACAAAGTCACATGGAAAAAAAAAACAATAAAAACGGTCTTCTAGTTAAAGGTAGTAGATTGAGCATACATTAACCTCTAGTCCTTGCTCTAATATCATTAACTGAATAGTAAAAATGGCTTAAAATAAAAGAAGGCAAACACACAGAAAAGAAAGCAGATGGAGAAACGGTAACTGATTTAATAGCTCTAGCACTGGGGAAGGTTAAAAAACAAACCAATTTGAACAGAACCCCAAAAGAAACTTAAAAACTTGGCACTTCAGGTACTTTCTGAAGTGAAATTAGAGGTGGGATTGAAAACAGAATTGGTTGAAAAGATCAAAGGATTGAGACTCCCAGATCTTCCTTTTTGTCTTTTTTTCTGTGTCCGGCAACGGACCGCAACCCTCAGTGTCGCGCCCGTACCGGACCGGGACCGGCAACGGGATCGCAACCCTCGGTGCTGCGCCCGCCCCTCGCTCAGCCAGTGAGCAGGAACCGGTCTGTATGTGGGATCCGAACCCTCGGCGGGAGCGCCACCGCACTCTCAAGTGGCGCACTGTAGCAGTGCACCACCGGGCCGGCCGAGACTCCCAGATCTTCTCTTCCACCCCTAACAAAAAAAAATTTTTTTAGTTGGTTATGAATATTCATGAGATATAAAGCTGACTGTCATCCTCATGCTCAAGATGTGAAGGCCAGATCCCTACTGGCAGCATGCCCATTACCACACCCCTGACAAATATTTCTTACCTGGGCTACCCAGTGAACAATTAAGGGTATGAGCACTATGCTAAAAATCAAATGAAAATTTAAATACTGAATGTTAAGACTCCCCTGCCCCTAACTCTCTTCCTTTAGTGAGCTTTTAAGACTGTTGGCAGCCAAGCTCATAGTTTTCATGCAGGAGAACAGAAAATTCTTCTCCTGGTAAGTTCCAACCAGTTTAGGACAAAAGATCTAAAGAACCACATTGAGGAACACCTAATCCAGATCACTCCATAATGAAGCCCACAGTTGACAAGTTCACTCACTCATCTGCACACAGTTTCCAAACAGCCCTGCTCTTCGATATTAGTGGATACTATAGGATCACCATACACTTTAAGAACATCTTTAATATAAAAGGAACAAAACAAAAAGGAAAAAAAGCAACTTGCAGGAAACAAAGACCTTGGAGGAAAAGGAAAACTTAATAAAATTCAAAAGGATCATTATCTTTAAAGAGATAAGACAAAATAGATATAGCAACCATAAACAAGAATAGGATATGGTATTTTTAAAAAAGCACTTAGAGAACAAAAAAGAAGTTCTTGGAAATATAACAACAGAAATGCAAAATCTACAAGTTGAACTTGAAAAAGATCAAGAAAGACAAATAAGTAGATAGGTGAGATGAAAAAAAGTATAAGAAGGCCAACATCCCACAAAGAAAGAGACAGAAGAAAAAAAAGAGAGGGTTAAAATAAAAACAAACAAGAAATTTCCCAGAACCGAACGAAACAAACTTCTAGAGTGATTAAGTACCCAACACAACATATGAAAATAAGCCCAAATCAAGGCACATCGCTGTGATTTCTGAATAGAAAGGACAAGATCTTAAAGCTTTAATAAAAAAATGTACACACCCAACAGTGATCCTAAGAAGTGAAAGACAACAAAGATTTTAAAATTCTGAAGGAAAAATATTTCAAAGCTAAAATTTCTATCCAGCTATTTGATCAACTAAACGTGAGGGGTGAAATAAAGGTCTTTTCAAACAGGTAAGGTCTCACTTCCATGCATCGCTTCTTAGGAAGCTACTCAAGGATATGATCCAAGAAAATGAGGATGTAAACTAAGAAACAGGAAAGCATGCAATCCAGAAAACAGGGAATCCAACACAAGAGAGGGGCAAAGAGAATCCCCAGGATAAGAGCAAAAGAATATCCTAGGATGACAGCAGTATAGTAGATACACAAAACAAGCAGAGCAGATGGAAGAAACACAGGAGACGCTGAGAAGGTGAAGTGGACAGAATACTTTTGAATGTACTCAAAGATTTATACTTGGAGTATAGGAAAGGTGTGCATAGGGACAGTGCAAGAAGAATCTTCATTTCCCAGAGAGAGAAAATAAAACGATAGATAATGTCTAAAAGCACAAAGTCAAGGGCCAGCCCGGTGGCGCACTGCTACAGTGCGCAGCTTGGGAAGCGCGGCAGTGCTCCCGCCGAGGGTTCAGATCCCACATACAGACTGGCCGCTCACTGGCTGAGCGAAGTGCGGGGGCAACACCAAGGGTTGCAATCCCGTTGCCGGTCCCGGTCCGGTACGGGCGCGACACTGAGGGTTGCGATCTGTTGCCGGTCACGACAAAAGACAAAAAAAAGGAAAAAAAAAAAAGATTAAAAGCACAAAGTCAAGAATAAGCAGGCCAGTTATTTCAGTTGGTTAGAGTGCAGCCTTATAACCTCAAGGTCATGGGTTTGGATCCCCTTACTGGCCAGCCACCAAAAAGAGAGAGAGAATAGCAATATAGTACATTTTTTAGAGAGATGGAGGTAAATACCAAAGGAAATAGTTTTAAAAAGAGCTGAAAGTGAAAAAGAGGATTGGGGGCCAGCCCATGGCTCACTCAGGAGAGTGCGGTGTTGAGAGCACCAAGGCCCCGGGTTCGGATCCCATATAGGGATAGCCGGTTAGCTCGCTGGCTGAGCGTGGTGCTGACAACACCAGGGAAAAAAGACAAAAGAAAAAAAAAAAAAAAAAAACACAATCCTGTCTTCCCACCTCCAAGACTTGGATGAAGATTGCCAATCCTTGATTTTCAATAAAATGCTTGCAAGCAGCTGGAGACTCATCTGTAAGATTCCAAAGTGCTTTCAAAGTAAACAAGAGGGTGACATCATCTAAATTCTCAGTAGTCTTTTGTTTTACTATTGCTAGAAGTTCCTAAAAACCAAAGAGACAGGGAGTTAGATAGATGCGCTAATGACCGACTCAATTCCAGTATAAAGAAAGCAATGTTAAGAAGAGCTTTAGAATCAAAAGAATCAAACTTGGGTTCTAAACCCAAGTTCTTTTCATTCTATAAAACAAATTGTACCTGCCTCTCATGGTTTTTATGGGGATTAAATTTTTTAAAAATACAAATACAAAAAATTAAAGTTTAATGAGTACTTAGTCCAGTTCTTGGTGCTTGGTAATCAAGTACATACCAGCTATTCCATTATTCATTATTATACAAAGACATGAGTGCCAGAAGGTTGGAATCATTGGGGGTCACCTTAGGGCATGTCCGTACAAATAAAAAACGAAGATGAAACAGATAGTCAAAGTAAACACAGCAGTTAGTGTTAACTTCTGCTGCTTCCAAAGCAGCTTTCAGGAAAGCAAACCCTAGATACTAGTATGTTGAAAAGAGCACAGGACACTAAAGATTGAAGCAGAAATTGAGATCCTCTCGCCCCTGCCCCTTGATTTCCCTCCCTCAGTGGCCTGATTTCCTAAGTCTATCAGACGATAGCCCCTAAGCAAGGAAGGGTAAGATGACAGTATCCCTGGCATAACTGAGAGGGATGCCTGAATCCCAAGGTTTCTCTTGCAGACCTTCGTCATTCTGAGAGGCTCTCAAAAAGATAAAAAGTGGATGATCTTTTAGGTGGGCAGGTAGGATACTTTGCACTGTATAGGATATAAGAGGCTTCAATCCAACTTTCTGGCATTATTTCCCATTGCTTTTCTCCTTCCCACCTTCTCCCAAAATTCCAACTATTCTGTTTTACAGTGTCCCTCAAATGATCACATTTTCTCATCCTCCTTTTCCAAAGATGACCTTTGTCCCCTATCTCCCTTGTCCCTTCTTTCTACTTTTCTGTACCTTCCAAATTTGCAATATTAATCATTTATTCCTTTCTATGAAGCTTTCCACATCTACTCTATTCTGAGTCCTATATGTGCTAAGTATACAAGAGGATAAGGCACAGTTTTCAAGGAGTTCATGAACTAGAACCAAAGGCTACAAGCACTAGACTTTGTGTCTCTTTCCTAGCACTTACAGTCAATATTAAATTAGAGCTATTTGCATACATGTCTAACACCATCTTCCCAATGTTATAAAAGCACCATCAATTTCATTTATTTCATGCATCTGTGTCTCCCATTGCACACAGCATAGCAAACTGCAGGTGCTTACGATATGTCTTCATTATTTTTTGTGGATCTTCACTTTTATCTTTAGGAAACAAAGAAGTTTCTCAATTATGAACCTACTGATTGAGAGGCAGTACAGAAGTACAAACAAAGAAATTTCTAAAAAATTGATTGCCCTAGCAAAAAAGAGAAAGAAAATAAATAAATAAAAATGAAAAAAGAGCTAGACAGCCTGAGTTTGGATTCTGATTCTGCCTCTTACTACCTAGGTGACTTAGGATAAATGGCACTCCTGTGACTCAGATTCTATATCTATGAAATGTGGTAGAATACAGATGTAACACAATCTTTTCTATCCCTGTATATGCATCCCTTTGCTGCTCCTCCTATCAAGGGATGTCCACCACTGCCTTTAATCTGGGCTTAACCATGGAAACTGCTTTGGCCAATGAGACATTAGCAAATGTGACAAAAGCAGAGGTTTAAAAAGCACTTGTACAGTGGAACGTGACCTCTATTGTTCTAAGACTGCCATGGAAAGAAGCCCATAGAGACACAAGACCCAGCCAACAATGAGTACCACCGGTCAGGCATGAGAGTCAGGTCATCTTAGACCATCCAGCCCCAACTGACACCAGATGACTGCAGGTACATAAGCAGCCCCACATGAGACCAACAGCAGCTCAAACTGTTGACTAACAAACTCATAAGTAAATAAAATTATATTATTTTAAGCCACTAAGGTACAGTTTGTTCACAGCAATAGATAACTAATATATACAATGGTATTACTTTACAGGGATAATGTGAAGATTAAATTAGTTCATATAAATAAATTGCTTATAATAGTGCCTAGCATATAGTACGTACTATGTGTTAGTTTTCTATTTAAAAGTAATTAAAATTAATTAAAAACACCCCTTACCAAAAGACCAAGTACTTTGCTTTGTATTGCTGAGTCTGAAAAAGTCTGTCAAAAGAAGATAGAGGTTACTTTATCATAAAGAAAAAAAAACACTACATAAAAACACAATCCTGGGCCGGCCCGGTGGCGCACTGGATAGTGCGCCGCTTGGGAAGCACGGCGGCGCTCCCGTTCGAGGGTTCGGATCCCACATACAGACCGGCTCCCGCTCACTGGCTGAGCGAGGCGCGGGAAGCAACACCGAGGCTTGCGATCCCGTTGCCGGTCCCCGGTCCGGTACGGGGGCAACACTGAGGGTTGCGATCCATTGCCGGACACGGAAAAAAAGACAAAAGACAAAAAAAAAAAAAAAAACACAATCCTGTCTTCCCACCTCCAAGACTTGGATGAAGATTGCCAATCCTTGATTTTCAATAAAATGCTTGCAAGCAGCTGGAGACTCATCTGTAAGATTCCAAAGTGCTTTCAAAGTAAACAAGAGGGTGACATCATCTAAATTCTCAGTAGTCTTTTGTTTTACTATTGCTAGAAGTTCCTAAAAACCAAAGAGACAGGGAGTTAGATAGATGCGCTAATGACTGACTCAATTCCAGTATAAAGAAAGCAATGTTAAGAAGAGCTTTAGAATCAAAAGAATCAAACTTGGGTTCTAAACCCAAGTTCTTTTCATTCTATAAAACAAATTGTACCTGCCTCTCATGGTTTTTATGGGGATTAAATTTTTTAAAAATACAAATACAAAAAATTAAAGTTTAATGAGTACTTAGTCCAGTTCTTGGTGCTTGGTAATCAAGTACATACCAGCTATTCCATTATTCATTTATTGAGAATGTTTTGTCAACTCCTTCTGTAAGTTAGGTACTCATTCAGATAGGAGAGGCAGACAAAAAACAAACAAAAAACACCAACAACCCAGTTTTTCTCAACTAAATAAAAGAATTTTAAGTTTTGGTAAATGCTCTGAAGGAAACACATAAAAGACTAAGAATTTACTTTAGAAAGAGTAGGAGAGAGAACCTCCATAGAAAGGTAGTAAAAACTGAGATCAGAAGAAGAGGATAAGCCAGCCAAGTAAGGACTAGGGATATAAAGGAATTGGGGGAGGGGAACCACAAGCAAAGTTTCGGGGCAAGAAAAAGTTCACTGTTCTAGGCCACTGATCAAGTCAATGTGACTAGCGCATTAGGCCAGTGTTACAAACATAGGACCTCACATCTTGAACAGATTCCAATGTACCATCTTAGACCAGAATTTTTCTGAATACACATTAAGCTACTATTTATGGTTTCTTTCAGGCATATTAGACTTGCCATGTGAGAGAAAAAAAGACAACCATTTCCACTTAACCAGCTAATGAAAAGATACATAAACTATAACCAGTCTAAAAAAATCAGAATATGTCTGTTTTAAGGAGGAATAAGACTCAAGTATTTTGCCCAATCAGGAGAGAATGTGTCAGGAGAGTTCATCAAAAAATAAATCAGTGTGGCCGGCCCGGTGGCGCACTGCGCTAGTGCGCCGCTTGGGAAGTGCGGAGGCGCTCCCGCCGAGGGTTCGGATCCCACATACAGACCGGTTCCCGCTCACTGGCTGAGCGAGGCGCGGGGGCAACACCGAGGGTTGCGATCCCGTTGCCGGTCCCCGGTCCGGTACGGGGGCGACACTGAGGGTTGCGATCCGTTGCCGGACACGAAAAAAGACAAAAAATAAATAAATAAATCAGTGAGAGCCAAGAGGAGAGAGAAGAGTGGCAGAGGAGACTGGCAGCCCTCACATAGGCAGTCAACAGGGTGAATGAGAACAAGACAAGGGAGGGAACAGGGGAACGAACTGACCAGTGGCCAGGCCCATGGTCAGACACTTTTCATACTTTATCTCAATGATACTCAAAGTAAGTATGAGCTATTACTACTATGAAACATACCTATTTGTCAGTTGATGCCAGTTTTTCAGATGAAGAATCAGACACAGAGATTTATCCAAGGTCATATGACCAGTAAGTGGCTGAATCTCTGTCTTAATCTAAATCCCAAGCTCACTACCTAAACTGTCTCTCCAAGAACTCCAGTGCTACGCTTCCCTGTGTTACATTCCCTACTTGCTCACTATATCTACATCTAGTCTTTTTACCATTCCTAGCAACTTCAATGTTCCTCCAACACATCATTTGGCAGAATTCATACTTTAGTTAATTAAATATAACCATCAGTCTACTTCATGTTTCCCCCAAAACACCTGAATGTTGAAAAAGACTGCTCAACTGGTGTCACTTTCAATACTTGCCCACGAATTTCAAGAGGGCATTCAATTGTCTGGAAATACCACTATATTTCCTAATTAACTTTCTCCAAAGACTACTATTTAATTCTCTCTCCACAATTGTAATCACCATATTGTCCCCTCATTTCATCACTTCATCTCATTTTTCATTGAGACCTATAACTACTCTTCCTAACACAATCTACCAACCTACTTGCACTTGCATTAACGTACTCTTCCTTCCCCTCTGCTCCAGTCTAAAGCCAACATCTTTCCTTCTGCTCTAAATCCAATTCCTACACACACATAAAGATTTGGCATCAAAATTATTTCCTTCTGTCTTGCCTGTACCATCAATTTTTCCCTCTTTTCAGAATTATTCTCATGGGCATAAAATATGTCTTAATGTAACTCATCTTAAAAAAAAAAGAAAACTACCGACCCTATATAGTATCTTTATCTCTCTTTTTTTTTCTATTATATCAAAAAGTTGTCTCCATTTATCACCTCTAATTTGCTCATCATCCTACTCCAATCAGGTTTTGGTCCACCACCCAACTCAAATAACATAAGCAAGATGATTAATGGCTTCCATCTTGCCAAATCCAATGGTCAACTCTGTCCTCATCTCACTCAACCACTTAGTAGCATTTGACATGACCACCCAATTTTTCTTGAAATATTCTTCTGAGATTCTAACATACCTCCCTCCTCGTTTTCTTTTTAACACATTTTGGATCCTCCTCCTCGGTCTCCTTTTCTGGCTCCTCCTACTTTTCCAACATATCTATGTATATTCTTACTAAAATTTCAGCCCTTTTCTTTTCTTGACATATTCCACATTCTTTCTAAAGTGATCCCGTCCAGTATCAGAACTGACTCAAATTATTTCTCTAGCCCTGACCTTCTTAACATCTTAAGCTTCTCAGAAATTAATATGTCCAAAATCACTCAACTTTTACCCCACTTTTTATCTCTATTTTTATCCTTGATTTTATCCCTATTATAAACAGGCATACAAATTAATGGAACAAAACAAACCCACTGGCTGGATATAAAATATTCATAAGATTCCACTTATGACAGCAATGCAAAAGGTACAAAGTCTTGGAATAAATGTAAGAAATATACAATATCAACATGAAGAAAGCTTCCACATACTTCTGGGGAACGTGAAAGACTTGAATAAATGGAATGACATACCCTGTTCTCAGGGAAAATCCATATCACAGGATGCCAAATTTTCTAAGTCAATCTATAAATTTAACATAATCCCAAAGAAAACAATTTTTTCTTAAAACTAGACAAGCCAACTCTGATGTTCACATAGAAAAAAACAAACAGATAAGGATAACTGAAAGAAACTTGAGGACAAATCTTAAAGATACAAAGTTAGTAAGTAGATAGACACGCAAATTAATAGAACTAAGTCCAGAAATAGGCGAATTTAACATATGAGAAAGGTGGCACTGCATAACAGTGGGAAAGATAATTATTCCATAAAGGGTGCAGAGGCAAATGGAAATAAATCAAGAAGAAAAGTTAAAAATGGATATTGACACCTCAAAAAAGTTCCAAATAAAATATTTACATGTTTAAAACAAACAAAAGAACCGCAGATTAAAAAAACATGGGGAATGATAGAAAACACTCTGTGGAGAAGGGAAATGCTTTCCAAGTGTACCATCAATCTCACAGGCATAAAAGATAAGTATAAATTCAACCGTATAAAAAAAAATTATTGCATGGTAAAGCATGCCATAAACAAAGTAAATAGAGGGCTGGCTGGTTAGCTCAGTTGGTTAAAGCACAGCCTTACAATACCAAGGTCTCAGAGGTTCGGATCCCCTGACCAGCCAGCAGCTGCCAATAAATAAATAAATAAAGCAAAAACAGACAAGCAGAAAACTGGGGGAAAATACATGCATCTAATATTTTTTTAAATCCTGTAAATTAAAAAGAAAGCTGGCAATCCAAAAGAAAATATATAAAGGGCATGAATAGACAGTTCACAGGAAATATAAATGATCTTCAAAAAAAGAGGGGGGGGGCTCAAACCTCATCTAAAATAACGGAAGTGCAAAACAAAATGATGTAAATTTTTTGGTAAGCAATGTTAGCATGACCATAATGTAAATACTAATTACTGATTTATTAAAAATTGTGATATAGGGGGCCGGCCCGGTGGCGCAATGGATAGTGCGCCGCTTGGGAAGCGCGGCGGCGCTCCCGTCCGAGGGTTCGGATCCCACATACAGACCGGCTCCCGCTCACTGGCTGAGCGAGGCGCGGGAGCAACGCCGAGGGTTGCGATCCCGTTGCCGGTCCCCGGTCCGGTACGGGGGCAACACTGAGGGTTGTGATCCGTTGCCGGACACGGAAAAAAGACAAAAAAAAAAAAAAAAAAAAAAAAAAATTGTGATATATATATAAATTTGCTGCAGACTGGGGAAGGAAGTAATTTATAGAAATATATGGAGGAGAGCTA